CTTTTATTAAAAAAATTCTTTTATAATGGTTTGCTTACAAAACTCATATATATTGTATATTATACTATCCCTCATTCACATTGTGTTTCATACATTCTTATTCCCATTATGTTTTATAAAATTAATCACCATTGAACTATGCCTGCCATCACCCTGTCTTTCCAGTTCCCTCTGGATCTTTCCCATTTCCTTTTCTTCTCCCTCTCTCTACTCACCAAATTGTGTGACCCTATGGTTTCTCCCCTATCCATCTTCACTCCTCTGCTTGCACCCTCCCCTGCTTGATCCTCATACACATTTTACTAGTTGCCTTTCTATTTCTCCAATAATGGCCTTATACAGTATGTGTTCTTATGAGACTGATTAGTTCACTCAACATAATGCTTTCCAGTCCCTCTCGGGTTATGTATTAATTTTCTAGATATTTCCTCCTGTGTACTGCTCAGTATTCCAGCGTACAGATATACCATAATCTCAATCCATTTGGTTGTGGTTGGACATTTGGACTGTTACCATATTTTTGTGATGGTGAATAACAGTGCTATGAACATTGGAAAAAAAAAAAAGACGTTAAGGAGCTGAACGGATTTCAAAGGGCCTCTCGGGAAGACAAGGCAAAATAGTATAACGAAATGTGCAAGAAGCTGGAGTCAGAAAATCAAAAGGACTTAAATCGCTCAGCATTTCTTAAGCTGAAAGAACTAAAGAATAAATTCAAGCCAAAAGTTTTAATTCTTAAGGATGCTATGGGCAGAATATCGAATGATTCAGGAAGCATTAAAAGATGGAAGGAGCATACGGAGTCACTGTACCAGAAAGAATTGGCTGACACAGAAAATTTCAAGAAACAACATATGATCAAGAGACACTGGTGATGAAGGAAGAAATACAAGCTCCTCTGAAGGACTTGGCAAAAAAAATAAAGCCCCAGGAACTGATGGAATACCAATTGACGTATTTCAGCAAACAGATGCTATCCTGCTTGTGCTCACCAATTTGTGCCAAGAAATCCAGGGGGACAACTACTTGGCCAATTGACTGGAAGAGATCCATATTTATTCCCATTCCAAAAAAAAAGGTGACTCAACAGAAATTATCTAACAATACCACTAATATCACACACTAGCAAAATCCTGCTGAAGATTATCCAAAAAAGACTTGAGCAGTACATTGACAGAGAACAACCAGAAATACAAGCTGGGTTTAGAAGAGGTCATGGCACTAGGGGGCATTACTGCCAATGTCAGATGGATCTTGGCAGAAAGCAGAGAGTACCAGAAAAATGTCTATCTGTGTTTCATTGACTATGCAAAGGCATTTGACTGTGTGGATCATAATAAATTGTGGCTAACCTTGAGGTGAATGGGAATCTCAGAACAGTTGATCATGCTTATATGAAACTTATACTTGGACAAAGAACAGTCCTTAGAACAGAGCAAGGAAACACTACATGGTTCAAAATCAGGAAAGGAATGTGTCAGGGATACATCCTGTCCCAGTACCTTTTAAATCTGTATGCATAACAGATTATTCGGGAAGCTGGGCTATATGAGGAGGAGTGTGGCATCAAGACTGCAGGAAGACATGCAAATGACACAACCTTGCTTGCTGAAACTGAAGAAGACCTGAAGCACTTGCTGCAAAAGGTCAAGGACTGTAGTCTTCAATATAGATTGAAGCTCACCATCAAGAAGATAAAGATTCTCACCACCGTGCCAACTGGGAGCACCATAATAGATGGGGAAGAGATTGAAGTTGTTAGCAATTACAGTTTGCTCAGATCCACAATCACATCAGCAGTCAGGAAATCAAAAGATTAATTGCTTTGGGAAACTGTTGTTATGGACCTCTTCAGAGTGCTGAAGAGCAATGATGTCAGTCTAGATACAAAGGTGCACCTAATCCAGACCATGGTCTTCTCAATTACTTGTTATGCTTCAGAGAGCTGGACAATGACTAACGATGACAGAAGATGAATAGACATCTTTGAGTTGTGGTGCTGGAGAAGAGTCTTGAACATACCATGGACTGCCAAGAAAACAAATAAGTCTGTCTTAGAGAGGGTGAAACCAAGTCTCTCCTTGGAGGCTAGGACTTTGAAGCTCCACCTCACTTACTCTGGACTTTGGCCAGAATAGATCAGTCCTTGGGGAAGGTCATCAGTCTCAGAAGGGTGGAGGGACAGTCTAAAAAGGAGGACTCCAGATAAGATAGATTGATACAGCTACTTGGACAATGAGGGAATTAGTGAGACAGGCTCAGGACAGGGAAAAGTGCAGAGCTGCTGTCCATAGGATCGCTATAAATCGCAGGCGACTCAATGGCACATAATAACAATAGCATGCTATGACAGGTTTGGAAGCAGAAGTGGCATCCACTTCCTAAACAACAAGCCTCTGGAAACTCTATGAACTTTGATAAATTTGATAGCTGTAGCGAGGCTTCAGGCATTTTGTTCTTGTTGTTTGTTGTTGTTATGTGCCTT